CCCCAAAACCCCAAAACCCCAAAACCCCAAACTATAAAAATACTGGGAGATATACAAATTAAATATTCATAATGAATTCTACTAAGAAGATTCAGCAGAAAGCATTCCCAAAGAACACTCCCAGGGAGTGTCCCCAATCATTGGAAGATTGGGATATCAGCAATGATGTCCTCTCTGAAGCAAATGTCAGGGTTCCTCAGGTGAAATGAATCCCCACAAAAAGTGTTAGTTGTCGACTTGGAATCAATAATACATCCTCTTGTCAGCATAATTTTTGAGCAAATCCATCGAAGATTTGCTCCTCCTCTAAAGAAGAAAGCAAACTTGCTCAACCTGAGGACTCTAAGTCCATAAAGAATTCTTCGGATTCTAAATCAAGAGATAAATTCTCCGAAAAGAATTTTGAAAATAGCTCCAATAGAAGGAAAATGAGTTTAAGGTCGGAGATCAGTAGCCTTCTTCAACAACTTATTAGGCAAAGAAGTAGCTCGGATAATTCTGGGAAAGGCAAGGAGAAGACAAAAATACCTAAAACAAAAAAGAGTACCTTCCATATATGCTACAGGAGCAACTCTTCGGAAAGAAGTGGGTCCAGAAAGAGATAGAGTAATACTATAATCTTCAGTTAAAAATTCTCATCAAGCTATATAAGTGCATACCACAAGTCAGATTTAAGAGACTCCAATCCTTCTTTGGACTAATCTTGTTACTGTTGATCCATACCTAATTCTAAAATTCGATGTTTGTTGCCTGTGGCTTGTCAAGGTCTCTTAAATTCTGCCAATGTCTAAGTCCTTATGCTTAGCAACCAAATACATCCTTTGAAGTTATAACCTCATACAATTTTTAAACATGAGTAGTCTTTTAGTTAACTGGTGAAGAGAAAATTATGCACAATTTGAATCACTGAGTATGATGGTCGTATAGAGACTAGTGGCTACTGAGATTTATTTCAGACTTCCTTTCCTTAGTATAACCTGATTGCATCGACCTTGAACTTGAATAAAAAGGAGCATCTATACAAATTCTCCTGATAGCTATGAACTTATCCACAAATTGGCCTTAACTTAGTGCTATAAGGGTTATTTATCTGGTAAATACGCTTGCCGTCAAATTAGAAGGATAAACCAAGATTTAGAATTTTTAGACCTTCAGACATATTTCAGATGACTATTTGTTCAATTTCTAATTGTTTTGAATATATGTTAGTGATTAGTGACGCTTCTATTTCTATGAGCTTCTAGGCAAGCCAGGTCTCCTGAATAAAGTCTTGAGGATATAAAACTACTATAGGAAAGAGGATACTTAACCCTTTAATAAGAATTTTTGGAATTAGAAGTTCTTTAAATTAAACCAGCTGCTGATTCACTCTAATTTGGCTAAATCTGCTACTTTTATTGCTCCTTTTGTGTCAAAATATGACATACAATAGTATATAGTTACTTCACAAATTATATAACTGAATTCAATTTATGATTTTGCTACTCCTAAAGCTTTAAGTCTTGATATCATTTCTAATGGTATGGACAGCCATTCAGAATCTTTTTTTATCAAAAGATGCCAATTTGAGTCTGAATGAAGTAGATATCATACAATTTTAACATAAATATTTAATAACAATTTTAGAAGAAAAATTCATAGAAAACATTAGAAATGACATACCTCAATTTTGAAAATTTTCTCAATTTTATCCTTTAAATTCAGATGCAAGTCGAATACGTTCACAGACCCCAACAACCACATCTATGAGCTTTGCTAAGCATATTTATCTAGCTAGGGACACTCCTAAATCATCAGCACGAATTCGTTAGGGATTAATACTAGTACAATATATAAAGATGTCTCCTTGCAAAAGAAGGTGACAGCTGAGATGTTATATAAAGCAGCTGCTTATCACTAATTTTCACGATATGCTGACCACTTTGGGGAAATTCTTAGGCATGAAATATTATATGACCCTGAACAAGAGAGTCATTAATTAAGAAAATTTAGGTGTTTTTCCTGAGTATTAGAATATTAAAAATTTGAGTATTCTTTCTGAAGATACTTCTTAGCATGTCCTTTCCTCTAGTCTTAACTTGCATCTGACTGTCAACGATTTGCCTATACTTAATTCCTAGTTTAATAATGGCGAACTTGGTCAGAATTATGAAGGTTTATTCAACTGTGAAGAAATCTTTCACCTAAATTTGCAATTTTTGTACTAAAAATTAGCCAATAATAGCTTATAATATCTGTGAAATAACTCTAAAACATTAAACTTTATTACCACCTCCAAGCCAGACAACTTGGCTAAAGCCTCATATAAAGCCTAAGGTCCCAACCTGAATGATTCGAGCTGGAAACTGTTCACTCTTTGACAAGTGAGTCTTTTAAAACTTAGGCTGAATAATTCAAGAAAGAAAATTTGGATTTATACGCTAATGAATAGTTTTGAAGGACTGAGCAAAAGGAAAATTAGGAAATTTTGGCTTGGGTTGGAGTGAATGGAGTGATTAAGAGAGGAAGGAAAGGAAGGGAGATAGGGACTTGGCAGGGAGGCTATAGAGGAGAGGACTGGTGAAGAGATAGAAGAAGAATCTTGATACAATTGGGAGAAAAAATGTTATATCCTAATTCCAAAAGTATCAAATTCAATCAACCCTAACTTCACCGGGGTTTTGGGGTTTTGGGGTTTTGGGGTTTTGGGG